GCCTTTCTTGAATGAAATCATCAATTTTTTCATTTCCACTTGTCCATATATAATTATTTTGAACAAAAATATAATCTCCTGTATCTGGATTTTGAGATATTCCATACAATACTTGAAATGCTTTATACTTTGTTGGATATTTTTTAGCCTAATAAATATAATAAAAGAGATTGTAAATATATTAATTTAAAAAAATACTTAAGAAGAAATTTCATACCTCATTTATTAAAGAATCAATGGATTCTTGTGAATTATGTAAATATTTTAAAGCAACTTTTTTATTTGAATCTCTATTATAATGTTTATACTGTTCATTATAGTATAATGGACCATCCTTCCATATTGCTGAATATACTGTTATAAGACCATTTTTACCTGTCTCACTAATTTCATTAAATTGATTGTATGGTATCCATTCAAATACTACATCATCTTCATTATCTTCATTATTGATTTTCAATTGCATTTCCTGAATGAAGTTATCAATTTTTTCATTTTCACTGGTCCAATTTGTAAAATTGTTTTTTAAATATTCCAGAATGTCAGGTATCTCTAAAGGTTCTTCAAAATCTTCAAAATCCATTTTGTAAATGCTCAAAAAATTTCTTAATAATAAGAATGTAAGAAATTTGGGCGTTAATAAATTCCATGTTATGTAAATTTAGCTTAGTAATATTGTTACGCAGATCAGCATGTATGCAAAATTCGGCAAAAATTCGGCATACCGCTGACATAATTGAAATGATCAACAATTTGTTGGTGTTTTGTATAACTGATACCTTACACTTAGTACTTAGTGCAAGTTATACTAAGTGTAAGTTATACGCGATAAAGGATTAATATATAAATTTTTGGTTTATTCATATTATTCATATTGTAATATTTCAGATCGCCAATAGTGAGGCGGCAATATTTTGTTATGATTTATTTGTGATTAGCATTTACTTTTCGTACTTATTGTTATATATTTATTATAAATTTAAATAAAGTATACGCTTTAATTTCCACACATACACTAAATTTTAAACTATTCGTTAAGTCACTATCACGTGACCTCGACGCAAACAATATCTTGAAATCATGTACTGTAGCACAAAAAAGTTACATATAAATAAATTCAAATCTTTATAGCTTTGTAGAATAATATTTTGATAAATACGCAATTTATATCATTTATAATGTGTTTATGAAGTTTTACTAAAAAATTGGTATTTTTTACTCTTAGAAATCATAGCCAGAAGTCTTATACTCGAAAATCACATGATTTTGTAAGCGATCTTATCACGTGATCCAGTCAGCCAGATTTGTAGATTTTCGTGCATAAATCTTTTCCTACTTTCTCAAAATCTTTCAAACCTTCTTTTATTTAATCATAAATCATTTCACTTCTAAGCCTCTATTCGATTTCAAACAACTCCACCATTTGTCCATTCTTCAATAATTTATTATTCTTCCATTTTTCATCTTCAACAGCCTTAATCCGAACAGTGTCTGTAGCATTCTTTTTTTTTTAGGTATCTTACTAATCTGCTTTTTGGACATTTGAAAAAAATGGTTATTAGCTATCTAAATAAAGATTTTCATTTATTATAAATGTCAAAATTTTACTCATAATCACTGTAAATTAATTTTGGAGCTCAAATTATAGAAAATTTCAGCCAATAAAATTTGAACGTTTATAACTTTTTGTGATAATTTTGCGCAAAGCGGTACAAATGTCCAGATGTCCTAACTTAGACAGTTTCTAATAACAAAGGATTCATTGTGATTATCCAAATATTTAAATCACTCATGAGGCAAATTAAAAAAAAGCCTTCCGCTTCTCTTTTCTCTTCTATATTTTGTCAAGCATGATGGACTGAGGGTGTAAGGTATAACCAACTCTTCACACTGTAAAACATACTTGAACGAATATAAAAACTGAGGTTGGATAGGGAAACCTGTGTATAATCCTAAATGATAAATATGATCGTATGGATATAATGAGAAAGTTTATTTTAAAAACAATTTCTTTATCGATTTTAATGTCATGTTGCATAGGCGACGGATTTGTAGAGAATTATACTTAGCAAGGTACATATAACTTATATTACCAATCACTGGTCATGTCACGGATCGGCATATTGAACTAATTTTAAGGAAAAAAAAGACTGTATTACCTCATTTGAATTACTTGATCTTTCAAATTAATTTCTGTCGAATTAAAATTTTATCAATAGAAGATCGACATGCGTGTCGATCACTTTTTATAAAACCGTTTTTTAATGCAAAAAAAAATATTTTACATAATAATGTGTACTAAAATTTTACACATAGTTTCACACCATGTTGAAGCCATTGTATATTAATTTTTTTCAAGATCGAATAATTATTGAGCTACTTTTACCATAAAAATGGGTTTTGTAGACGAAAAATTGCCAAATTTGACCAATATATAAACATGTGAAAATCATGTTCCATTATAGTTTGTAATACTATGATAATCGAAACTTGAAGATAGAAAAAAGGTGTTTTATCTTCGTACAATGAAGAAAAGTCGTCAAAAACTTGCATCTCGCGTTTTATTTTATCCTATTTTTGTGATTTTTTAAAAAACTGATTATTACAAATGTCGCTGCATGAAAATAATAATCTTTTTGATTCACTTTTTGAAAACTTTACAGAAGGTTCAGAGGAGTCAGATAATTATGTAGACAGTGATAATGTAAGCAATGACTATGAGTTTTTAGATCCTTGTATTGATTTGAAAGAATGTAATGTAAGTTTTTTACATAAAATATTTATAGATAATGATGAAATTAGTAGTTCTGACTCAGATAATTATGATTGATCTTGAAAGTGAAGGTGAAAGTGAAAATGAGAGTCAGAATGACATTTATAATAATAGTGCTGAATTTATGAAATTATAAATAATATAGAACAAAAAGAGTTAACGGCATGTGTAATAGTTGATTTTTTTGATGGAAAATTTCAACGATGTGGAAATAAAGAAGGAAATATAAGACAATTGCGTAATCTTATTGGGACATGGCAAGTGGATCGAGATGTTATTAGAGAAGTAGATGGCAATTACAAAAATTGGTGTTTGTGATTTACATTTTCAATTTGACAATAAATACCTACATAATTCAAAAGAAAAACAATTAAAAAAGTTTGAGATGGGAATGATTCAATGGCGTAGATGTATTTCTTGTAATAAGTATGTAACATTTTTTTCACGAGGTATAGGATGTACTCAACATTCTTGGCGTCTAAATGAACATAATATTCAAGTACCATGTATAGGACAATATAGTTGTAAAGCGTTAAAAGTATGCCGTCCCTTATGTGTTCAAGCATTTGATAATATAAATATTAATCAAAAATCTCTTTGTTACTCATGTTATGAAGAATTTGGAGGACATATTTATCAACGTCCAGGAAGGGGGAAAAAAGGAAATACTTGTGAACAATTACATTTAGAAGATACTAGCAAAGGGCTTGAATTTTTGGGTAATTGGTTAATTCATTTTTCACAAGCTCAAAATGAAGAAATAAAAAATGAGGCATTAATAGCGTTAGTTAATGCTCTTATTCCTTTTACATCTTTTCCAATTTCTAATAAACAAGCTTTAGCTAAATCAATTTCAAGTGATATAAATCAAATACCTAGTTTATTTATAATTAAAATGCTTTTTATTAAGTCTTCTAAGAAAACAAACAATCAAAATTTAAAAATTAATGATTATGAAGAACTTGGACGTGTAATTGGAAAAAAATTATAGGATTCAAGATCAGATATTAATGAAAAAAATCTTCTTTAAATTTACCACAAACTATCCAGAAGTATTATGATGCATTTCCAAACTTTCTTACTTCATTTTTTCAGGAATAATTAACAAATTGCAAGAAAAAAAATTGGAAATAAATAATCGTCAGCAAAGAAAACGTCAAAAACCACTTTCTACTATAAATAATGAACGAACAATTAAAATTGTAACATTTATTATCTCAATGATAACGGGACTAGNAAAAAAAAAAAAAAAAAATAAACTCTCTCCCCTTTCCGTTTTTTTTGTTAAAAAACCGCAGTAATATACCCTTTTTTTTCACAAACACTTATAGTTTTTTCTAAGGAGCGAGGACCACTTGGTGGCCTCTACGGAAAGGTCTCCTTTTATTACCCTTGACCTGTGAGAGATATGGATACGGAAGATATACACCGTTCCACTTCAGTCTGTTCATAATAACCAGACTATTTTACCTTTACCTTTACCTTTTTTCTCAAATACGTTTGATAATATGTCCAACGCTCATGAAAATACTTTCCTTGTCTCTGTGAAAAAATTTCACGTGACAACAAAACGCTGAACCGGTTATAACAAGATTTACGAATTTAGACGCTCAAAAAGTTTCTTTTTTGAGCTTGCTGATCCTTTCTCGGACACCAATAATCTTCATTTATTTTTACACACCAATGATTATCACATGGATTCTACGCCTATTCGATACACATCCACGAGCTATTTGCCTAACACAAAATATCAAATTAGTAAAATGCTCACACACTTTTTTACCTTACAAAAAGTTTTACCCCGACGTATTCAACAAAAGTATTTTGATTTGATTTGCCAGAAATTACTGGAACGAATTGACTTTATCAAGTCACGTGCTTCTAAAAGAACTTTGAAGAACACCATTACAAAAACTTTCTTCTCGTTTTCTTATAAGTGCTACCGCTTCCACTTTGGTATTTACATTCCTTGTGAACATGCTTACACACCTGGTTCATTTAATCTTTCCACCAGGTGTTATAGCCCAAGCCCTTTCGTCATGTCTTTAAATAGACGTGCTTGTGGTACTCATCAATCTGAATTTTTGAGAACAGAAATCAATCACCATTTAAAACCTGTGCCTGATTCGGACCCAGGATTTATAAATTCAAAATCTTCACACGCAAATCATGTATACGACCTCTGGCAACATCGATGGAATAATAATATTTTTTCCAATCGTCTTGGTATTCGATACAATGTACGCTTTGCAGCCAACAGTAGTAATTTCATATGCAAACACCCAGGTGCTTACATTTATAGGAAACACCTTTCGGATTTCAAACTTAACCTCAGCAGTAACCCTACAACAAAACGTAAACAGGAAACCCGCTTTAAGAGACATTGTACACGGGTGTTCAAAAATATTAACCCTATATCCCGCACTATGAAAGAGGATAAACTTGCAGCAGGGAGACGTTTTCGCTTCCTGTTTCATGAAGCTCAACACATTTATTCACCTATTCACCATCTGAAATTCAAGCGTTTTTCAACGGAGAAATTATTACCTGATCCCGATGACTATACATTTAAGATACCTTACCACACGCTGGAGAATTCCAGTATTACGCCTATAGCTCGATCACAACCTTCAACCTCATATAGGCCTTCTGGTGCCAACACAATCCTCCATTATTTGAACGCCAAAGAAACCGCGGCTCTCGGTGGTCTTCTAGAACTACTTAAACGCACTCCTATCTACTACGATTATAATCCCGTAAACCCGTCAAAAGTGGACAGTAGTTATTTTTTACAATACAACCCTGATCAACCCAATTTACCCCAACTATCAATATACGTCAATCTAATGCTCTAGATTACGATTCATCCGCCACTAACGCTATGGGTACTACTCTCAAACATTATTACCGTCGAGCAATGTCGACTCGACAAATCACGGTCTGGACTAAAGACTATCACAAGTATATAAAACAACCTGTACCACCTCCAAAACCTTCCAAAAAGAAACAACATCACAAGTAGAAGAAATGGATGGAAAAGCATCAAGATTATGATGACTTTATGAGTAAACCGTACGCTCCGAGGCCTTTTTGCCCGCCTGATTACTATACAGACCTCTTTGGTTCTCCTTCATACACATCAGATGAAACTAAAACAGTGGAATACCGACCTAACAAGAGGGACACGTTGACTAATCCTTCTGCTTCGTCACAATCACACGACAGTAAAAGACCAAGACCAGCGAATAGTTACCTATCCGACTCCCTATTTACTAGTCTTAATACTAATTAAATTAGTTTCTTTTTCTATATATGTATATTTTTCATGTAATGAGTCTTTTAACATTTTTTCCTACTTTATACTTTACATTCCACATTTTGGCGTCTAACTTACCCCCATGTCATCATGTATGTCTGTAAACATATTAAACAATTTAGAATAGTGTGAACCACTCCACTTATGACAGTATTGACAAGTGGCAGCCTTAGGGCTGAAAGCAAAATACGGATTTTATTAATTTTTCTTGTTTATTTTTCTTGGGATTTTGGTAAGATTGTTTTTTAGTTCTTCCTTTTCTTTTGATCGAACCTTCTGAACTCCCGGTTATGCCTGTTTGTTCGGTTGAATAATGGGCAAGATGACCCCTTCGGGCTTCTCCCGAGAGGTTGGGTATAACACTAGCTTAGAATTTATTGTTCTTTTAGATCATGTTTATTCCTATTTAGCGTTCGACCCCAGTCGAGTCTATATTTTAAAAATAAAATAAAATAAAATAAAAAATTGATCTGTTTTATCAAATATCGAGCTTTTACTAGTAAACTCTGGTATATCGAAACTATTTTAATATACGTGATTTGGTTCCAGCAAAAAAGTCTGGTTTAGCCCCAAATCTGGTTTATCGAAGATTCAGTTTATCGAATTTCACTGTGTACCTAGTTTATTTACAATTAAAATGTTTTTTATTAAGTCTTCTAAGAAAATAAACAATCAAAATTTAAAAATTAATGATTATGAAGAATTTGGATATGTAATTGGAAAAAAATTATGGGATTCAAGATCAGATATTAACAAAAAAAAATCTTCTTTAAGTTTACCACAAATTATTCAGGAGTATTATGATGCATTTCCAAACTTTCTTACTTCATTTTTTTCGGGAATAACTAACAAATTGCAAGAAAAAAAAATGGAAATAAACAATCGTCAGCAAAGAAAATGTCAAAAACCCACTTTCTACTATAAATAATGAATGAACAATTAAAATTGTAACATTTATTACCTCAATGATAATGGGACTAGCTTTTTCTTCTTTTAAACTTTGGTTGCCTCAAGTTTTAGCAAGCTTATATCGCAAGCCACGATTACTAAGTTCACTTTATCAATTATTAATATGTCATGTGACATCTCATACAGATCGGCATGAAAGAAAACTTGCCAATATCCGAATGGAAAAAGCTAATCCAGCAAAATGTCTAATTCAAGAAAATAATATTTGGAATTTAGCAATTATTGACAACATTGATTTTAAAGAGAAAAGCTTTAAATTTGGAAATATTTATGACGTTACCCGATGAAGTTCTCATGCGATATTAAGAATGGCTTTCCAAGCGCAACTGCCAATAAATAGAACTGAGCCTGAGGTAGTAGTCGTATTAACAGCAGATACACCATTATTTGGTATGAATTCTAAAATAGACCAAATATTAATAACTTTTCAAGAAATATTCAAAGAACTATTACATATCAAAAATAATAATGGTGAACTGTCTTACAAAAAAGATTTTGATGCTGAGAGTATTAAAAATATTATACTTTCTAAATTAGGTTATGGATGTTTAGGCCCATCTCCTAATATTGTTATCCTTGAACCTGGAATGAATTCAAACTCTGATGAAGAAATTTTACATGCTGCTGAAATGTATAAAAAAGACTTTAATTTGAAAGATTCTGATTTTCTTGATATTGTGGCTGATGAAGCAATATATCGTCAATTAATTAAAGGTAAAAAAAAAATGGCCTAAGCTAAGACCTCATCTAGGTCAATGGCATACCTCAAAAGACTTTGCTCAGTACTTTTAGTTCTATTTTCAAGTTATGGATTATTAAGCTTAGCTTCACGTCTTGGTGTAAGATTTCTGGATAAATTTGAAATTGCAGTTGATTACCGTTTAACAGCTAGAATTCTGGATCTTTTATGGATTGCTGTAGGAATAGCAATTAATATTTACATTACTTCAAAAAATATACCTTTTTCAGCAATCATGGATGGTAAAAATGATACTCACATTTGTCTTAAAGTTTGGTATCTTTATTATAAATGGGCAGGTATCTGGAAAGCTCATAGAATGGGAATTCATATAGGAAATTTTAATATTCAAAGAGATTCTTTAGTACCTCTTTTTGCTAGTGCTGCTAAATCTAATTATACAACTGCGATTGCTCACTTTCTTTCAAATATAGCTGCTCATCCACAATTAGAGGAAAATCTACATCACGTTGGCTCTTTTAAAATTCCACGTGAAAAAAATGAAGAAAATGATCCTTTCTATACTTGTTTTGGATTTGATGAAGCGCTATAGACCTTTGGGGTTAAATATATTAAACAGAATATTACCGGGAATACAATTGATGAGAAAAATCTCAGAAATCAAATTAAAGCATGCCAGGATGAAAGAGAAAGGATTGATTTACTACTATATGAATACCTAGATACTAAGTTAATAACACAGTATTGCATACTGAACAAACTAGTGAATCATGAAGGGAATCACTATAGAATCTTGTAGATGATTTGATAAATGTTTTTGGAATGTCTGATCCTTTATCCCATAATTTATTTAAGGAATATCCGCCAACAGAATTGCATCATCAAGGAGTTGAATGTCTGATTGCATGTTATGAGAAAGGATTAGAGCGAATTAAAGCAGTTTATCGACAAGAAGTTCTAGAAATAGAATGCGGAAATGCACGGGGTAGGAGGAAGACAGAAGTAGTCAGAACAAGGGTTAAAGATTCTAATCAAAAAAAAATCAAAAAATAAGACTGGAATTAAGTCATCCCAACAAGTAAGTGGATCAAGCAACCAGGCGGATAATTTAGAATCACCATACATACCTGAAAGCCAAAATAATCCGATAAAAGTGCCAAAGAAAAAGCGTAGTAAACAAACAACTCCAGAAGAAGAAAAAATACTTGAAGAGTTGTTGGTTTATAAAGAAGAACTACCAGACTCGGCTATTAATGAGATTCTTAGTAGGATTGGAATAAAGCTAAAGTTAAAGCAGCATGGAGGTATCGTAAATCTAAAGTTAGTGAATAATATATAAGTACTAACATTATTTAGAATATTTTCTTTGATATTTTGTTAGTCTAGTGTTTTTATTGTTAAATAAATGTCATTTTACAAATTAATAAATAATACATAAAAAAATTTCAAAAATTGCAGTTTAAATAATTTCAATTATCGGTTAATTAAATAATAAAAAATAAACTCGTACAATTTTAGCAAAAATTAATAATCTAACCTTCTTTTAGCGAGTAAGCTTTTCGATCGTACATTAAAAACTACATATAATTGGTAATATAAGATCGTATTTTATTTTGATATAAACTTGCATCTGGGGGTTAAGTTCAAAAAAATAGGAAAAGTGTCTTATATAAACTGTTCATACAAGCGTTATATTACAAAGAAAGTATAAGAACGTATAGATTAAAACTCGAGAAACAAAGGTTTAAGGGTATGTTACTTGAAAAAATTTTATGTTGCAATAGTACTGAAATTCGCGTAATTTAACGTTACACATGACCGACGTGTGTTACTGTAATTTATTTAATTCACTATAATAGAAAGAAATAGTTATGATGAATATGTTGAAATAAGTTATGGTAGGATGAAATTATAATTATAAATAAAAATTCTTTATTTCTAACCATTATTGGCCATATAAACTCGTTTCAACCCCTAAAATGATGAATTTTTAAGTTAATAACGGTATATGAACATTTAGAGTTATGCGTTTTTTAACAACGAACTAGATCTATTTTTTTTTACATCTATTCGATAAATTATTGTTTAAAGTAAAAAAAGATATATTTACCTTTTAACACAAGTTTAGGAATAAGTAAAGTAGCAATAAAATTATTAAATAAAATTTTAATAGTCTTTTATGAATTTTTTAAAAAATATGTAGTGTTAAGAAAATCCATATGAATGTCAATTATGTAAACACACTTTTACAAAACTTTTTAAACCTTACTAGTTATATGAAAATGTCAAAATTATAATTGAATTAATTACAAGATAACTAAATTAGAAATGTTAAATTCTCAATTGAATGAATCTAATAAGCGTCATCAATAATAATAAAAATCATATCAAACTTTTTATTGATAACTTCACCAAAGTCATTTTCATAAACTTTTAAATCCTTCTTTCTGGCAAATATTATCTATTCATAGCAATGAATCAGAAGATACATTCAGATTCTTATAAAAATCCTATAAACTTGCAGTTTCAGAGTGTTTATTTTGCGTAAACTTAAATCTGTCACAGTAACGATCATTTAGCTTAGATACAAATATAAGCCAAAATCGTTGTTCTTGTATCTAAAATGGCATGTACTACTGACAGAAATATAACTGAATCTATAAATTAAGAATGTAGTTTGCATATTTTAAAGTGTTTTATTACTTAAATTTGCTATTTTAATGTATTTCTCATTTATATTTTTAATAGCCATCAAATGAAGTTAATGATTTGAATATAGTAATTGTAACATTGCTTACTTTAGTTTCCTTTGCCATTTTTGCTATGATTTTTCCTAATCAACCATATTACATTAGGCATAGTAAGTTTTATGAGATTGTGAATTTTCGGATAATATTGCTTAAGCATATCAAAAGCAATGACAAGTGCATAAATAGTATTTCATCTCTTATTAAAAAAATTGTATAATAAAAAAAGATATTCATAAATTTTATAAAATATAGCAATAAGCAACTAAAGAGTGTAAGCAAAAAATAAAGTTACTTTTAGAGTCAACATATTTATTAACAAATGAACAATTTTAACTATTATTACAATCCAAATTTGTAATTCAATTGGATTGAATATTGATTTTAGATGGTGTATAGAATTCAATTAACCATTTTTTACGCGAATAGAAACTCTTACTATTTATAGTATTATTATAAATATTTCGGTATATTTAATACACACTTTAATAATTTATTGTTTTACCAATAAATACTTTTGTTTTATAAAACAAAAAAAAATTGTTTGTAAATTATTCCACCGGTATAAAAAAAAGTATCATAGTATATGTTGTTATTATTTCAAATTATTTACAGTTTTACACGTTGGAGGTAAACAACATAACTGAATAATGGATAGATTATATATTTAAATATCTAGACTTTTAGTTAGAGGTTATAATAGTTATTAGAAATTTATTAGAAATTGAAAATTTGCGAATATTTCACAATCTAGCCTGCTTGGTTTAGTGGTATAATTCACGCCTGCCACACGTGAGACCCGAGTTCGATTCTCGGAGCATGCAAAGAGGTATTGTTTGACTCTTTTATTTACATTTTGTACTTTAGCTAAGTTCATTAGGTACCATTAATGATAATTTGCCAGCGAGCTATCAAATGTACGGCACGTAAATTAGACCTCCACATCGCAAATGGACTATTTTAAATAGATTAAATCAGTTATTGGAGAATTTCCGGCCAAAATATGAAAGCTTTGGGTTTATTCAAGATTCTTCGTTTTTATGCTCTTTTACGGAAAAATAGTATGCAGTTATTGCAGTACAAGTAAAAATAATTGTTCATCAGATATTTACACTTTTTTCTTTTTTGTTCAAATTACAAACCAAGTTTTATTTGAAATATTAAAAATTATCTACCACTTAGTGTTTGAACAAAATTATGATAAATGAAATTATAAAGTCAATATACTATTTAAACATCTATAAGGTATTAATTATTACATTATATTAATTTCAAAATATATCTAAAAATAATAAATTAATTAATTATTAGTATAATCATTATTTCAAATTTAATAATACTCATTGCTATTATTTACCGTCAGGAATTTCTAATTCATCTTGCTCTTCTGGATGAAGATTCGAGATATGATATAATGCGTCATCATCTACGTATGAAAAGTATGAAAAGAAAAATATAAATTATCATAATATTTTTTTTTTTCAAAAAAAAAAAGTAAATTTATTAATAATCATACCTTCCATTGCATGAGGTAAATAATCAGAAAGATAAATTCTACTTTCACTTTTATTTATTTTAGAAACCGTTTTCTTCCTTGATTTAAATGATTGACGAATATTAATATTCTTAAAGAATTTTTTAATTGTATTTTTATTATTAATTTTGTCATTGGATATTTTTTCGAAACGTAAACTTTTCATTTCTTGCATTTCTTTTAAAAGTATATTAATATCAGGTCTTTTTAATGGATCAGTATTCCAACATCGTTCCATTAAATTTCTATATTCTAAGGGTGTGCCTGATAATATTTGTGGCCTCATCCCATTAACTATTTTCATCGCAAAATCATAATTATGTTCATAATTAATAAATGGTGGCTGAGAAGAAGAAATTTCCCACATAAGCATACCAATACTATAAATATCTGACGCAAAACTCTGTTTTTTTTCAGTAATAACCTCGGGTGCCACGTAAGAAAGATTTCCATATATACTCTTTAATGGTATTTCGGCTGGACCACAAAATCCTAGGTCGCTTATACACCAAATATTTTCAGATTTTAAATATAACATATTCCCTGAATGCAAATCTCTATGGATTGTATTTTCTTTATGAATTCTATAAAGCGCTATTATTATATCATAAATTATAACAATTCTTTCTTCCCATGTGAGCTTATCGTGATTCTCTTGTAAATAACTTCTTAAATCCATGCTCATTGCGTACATTACAAGCATATATTTTTTGTCTTTGATATCTTTGATATCTTGCGTAAGGCCATAACACTTAACAATATTTGACCATTTGTTGCTTATAGTTAAATGTGATTTTGCCTAACATCAAAATTATGTTATTACATATAAAAAACTTTACTAGTACTATAACATAATAAATATTTAAAATGATTTACTGTACCTCATCAAACCAACTCCTATTAGCATTTTCAATATTTTCTAATGTTTTAAGAATTACTTTATGAGTTCCAAATCTTTTAAGTTTTCTTTTATTAGAATCCCATTCATTATAACTACCACCAATCCAATTCGCTGTATAAATTTCAGAACAACCACCTTCAGTTAATTTTTTTATATTTTTTAAATTATTATATGGAATCCATTCAATTATTTTATCCGGTGAAAGTGATTCTATTTGACAATTTTGAATTAAATTATCAATATTATCATTTCCAGATGTCCATTCTGAAAATTTAGATTTTAAATTATTTCGAATACAAATTTCACAATATAATGTTGCTAAACATTCCTCTTGACAATTTTCACAAATTCTCCTTGTTCCTTCATTATAAACAATTTTATAATTATCATAATGTTGATTTATTATTTTGATTGCTTCTTTTTTTTCAGCTTTTGTAAGAGATTTATTATCGTTTATTATTTTTTTTGCCGATTCACATTGAATTATCGTATTATGAATATTAAAATTTAATATATCATTTGCTCGATCAACTGCGGAAATAATTGATTCTTGTCTAATAGGCATAATGGAACTTTCAATTCTTTTTTTTTTTTTTTTTTTTTTTTTTTTTCCTACAAAAAAAATATGTTTGGTAAGCCCCGTACGTTACTAAAATAAGAATGATCGTCTAGTGACAAAACTTTAATTTATCATTTCTTTATTCGTTTCCTGTAAATTCATGCATGATTGACATAAACATACAGCAGATTATTTCATTGTTCTCCTTATGTATAATATGTTGAAATTGATATTTTTTTTTCTTTATTGATGGAAACTTATCGGGATAGTTTATTATTAGATATTTAAAAGATACTATTACAAAATAAAATTAATTTTTGTTTCACGAATTATTGGCGTATAATAAATTAAATCGACCACTAATTTTTAACCACGTAAATAAAAATTGAGTCACAGGATTCTGGTTATTTTTCTTCCGAGATTTAAAAACTTCCATAAATAAGCATCTTGATCTCCGCCTGGATTATTCCGAAAATTATAATAACTTTGGCCAGAATTATATAAAAAATGTGTGCTTAATTTCGGAAGGATATTGTGGAATTAGAAAATCCGTTTCAGAATTTTGTGAAACGATTCTTTTTGTCGTTATTCTTTTTTTTTTTTAATAAATTTTTGAATTTTTTTTTGATTTTCCTCAGTACTCACCCAAATTATCTAAAAGCTTTTTCTTTGTACCCTTCATGGCTAATATTCGTAAAAAATTAGTTTATGCGGCAATTCAAGAAGCTTTTAGTGAAGCGGATAAGAATCCTAATCTTAATTATCAACAGAAATTATTAAATGGAATAATTTCTGCTGATAATTCTCTTACAAAAGATGAAAAAGCAGAAACAGCAAGAATAATAACCGAGAGTTATGACTCTTTTAAAATTATTAAGAACGAAGGCGAAAAAAGAATTTGTGAAAATTGTCTATGTGAATGTTTAGCCACATTTTATTGTGAAATATGTATTCGAAATTATTTAAAAGCAAGTTTTTCAAATTGGACATCTGAAAATGATTATGTAGATAATTTAATACAAAATTTTCAAATGGAATCAATTGCTCCAACTAGGATAATTGAATGGATACCATATAATAATTTTCAAAATATTAAGTACATAACTAAAGGCGGATGTTCTGAGATTTATAGGGCAAATTGGACTGATGGACCTTATGATGGATGGGATTCTAGAAATCAACGATTAAAAAGGTTTGGTATGCTTAAAGTAATACTTAAAGAGTTAGAAGATGGTGAAGACGCAAACGTGAGTTGGTTTGATGAGGTAAAGTATAATTTTTTTTTAAAAGTATTATCGATCATTTAACTTTTACGTAGATTAACATTTTTTTTTCAAAAACCTTCACAGACCAAATCACATTTAATAATGAGTAGCAAATCTTCAGGCGTTGTTAAATGTTTTGGTTTATCTAGAAATCCATCAAATGGAAAATATTTGCTTGTATTACAGCAAATGGATAATGACTTAAATAAATATTTACAACAAAACCATAATCAACTTACATGGAAAGAAAGAATTAACATAATTTGTGATATAATAAAAGCACTTTACGAAATTCATGAAGAGAAAGCGATTCATAGAGATTTACATTCCGGGAATATATTATATTTACAAAGTGCAAATTTATGGTGTATTTCTGATCTTGGATTTTGTGGACCTGTTGATCAACCATTATCGAGCATATATGGAAATCTTCCCTATATAGCACCTGAGGTTGTAATTGAAAAAAAACAGGGTTTTGCGTCAGATATATATAGTATTGCAATGCTCATGTGGGAAATTTCATCCGGAAAACCACCATTTAATAATTGTGAACATGATTATGTTCTTGCAATGAATATTATTGGAGGTATGAGACCAGAAATTGTACTAGATACTCCTTTAGAATATAAGCAGCTAATGGAACAATGTTGGGATGCTGATCCATTAAAGAGACCTGACATAGATCGTCTTTATAATAAAATATTCGAAATAAGAAATTTATATTATCAAAATGGTTCAAATAAATCATATAATCAACCATTTCACAAGTATAATATTAATTTATACCAGTTTTTTCAGTCAAACAAAAGTAAAAGTTTTAAAACAGATTATGGAAGCCGACTGATTACAAGTAAATTTTATAACTTTGAACATTTATCATCATTAAAACCTAAAAATGCGACAGAAGGTACTAAATCATATTCTTTGTATGAATTGTTATATTTAAAAATTGTGAACTAATTTATAAATTTTTTTGATTCGACCAAAAATAGAGGAACAAAGGGGTATATAATTTATTATTATAAATGAAAACACAATATAATAAGTAGTAGTTATTGATACATGCATTTATATTAATAGCATTTCATAGTAAACATTATGCTTATAATCTTTCTGATAGTAGTAAGTATTAAAACGTTCATTTTTTTCATAACGTGATTTTTTTATTAATTTTTATTGAATTTTAGACAATTCAAGTGCATTAAAAATAGAGAAGTATTTTAAAGGTAATAAATTAATTATGATATAATAATTAGTTTTATCTAAAAGTAATCATTTTTTAAAACTCAATTAGATCTTAGTACAAATTTGATAAACAAATTTAAAAGTCTAAAGATAAATTCCAAAAAGGGTAAGACATCAATTGTAATTTTATAGAAGAAAATGAAAAATTGTTTATTTGCTTAAATTTAATTATTTTGTCTAGATGATAATCGAAATGAAAATGAATTATTACAAGAAACAAATAATAATATTAATACTAACCATTATAACATGAATTCTAACTCAATTAATTTATCTGAAACAAAAAGTAAGGTTTTATTCTAATATATATTTAATGAAGCATTAATTAAATTTTATAATTATCACGCTTATTAATAATTATACTTTTTACAAACAAATGATAATAGTGGAAGAAGGTATTTATTAAAATATATGATATACTATGTTATTTTATAACTTATTAATTTATATCTTATTTATAGATATAAGTGCGTATAGTAGCAGTGAATGTAGTAGCCGAGAATTTTCCTTTAACATTTCTGACATTTCTGAAGATAGTAAGTTTTTGTTTGAATGTTTTAATAAATACTGTATTATTACTGTACTCTATACTGTACGTGTAGTTTTTGATCGATCATTTAATTACTTTAGTTGATAATATCTCGAGTAAAGATTTGGCAGATTCATCAAGAGCGAGCAGAATAACTACAGGTAATTTATTTTAACAAATATAAACCTATTATATTATATCATCGGATAGTAAAAAATAATCAAAAAAGTATAGAAAATTTGATGATAGAATATTTTTCTTAATTTAGAGGAAAATGATTATGTAGACATAACTAATTCAGAAGATCAAGATGAGTTGGAAATTCCTGATGGTAAATAAAAGGAGAGCTTATATTAAAGTATTGATTTTTACTAATAGATTACTTATAATAATTTTTTTTCAATAGAAAAAATTTAAACCGACTATAAATTAAATAAAATTTATTTAAACGTCGAGGCTAGGATAGTAAATAGGGTTACATTCGTAATTTAAAAAATTTTATTATTTTCAACTTTTTGTTCAAACACTTAGTAGTAAAATACTAGAAACTCTAACAATTAAGTTTAGTCTGTGATTTGAAATATTAACGTTGGAGTTTAAATTCCTATTTATATGAATAATTAACATATAAAATATAAATGATATAAATGTAAAAATATTTAAAATATTATATGGAAATTATAAATAATAAATAAAAAATAAATAATTAAGATAATAAATATAATTAAAATATAAATATAAGAAAAAAAATATTTATTCGATATCTCTAATATCTCTTGTGAGATTTTTTTTTCTTTTGAATGAATTTGTACCACTGATACATGAAGCTATTTAAAGTATGAACGACTGAAAGTTTTGTCCCGGGTTTTAGCGATTTCTTTGCAATATCTTTTGTAATGCATGATAAATATCATAGCCTGTAATACTTTCTATTTAATTTTCTATACAATTAATTTTTATTTTGAGTATCAAAACCTATGTTTAATTCGTAATACAATAAATTTGATGTTGTTTATTAGAGAATTGAAATATCATTCGTAACCTATACTAAATGATTGGATGGTATAAAGGTTAAGGACAATGTATTATTGCTAAATATAGTAAACCCATAATCTGAAATATCAACTGAATTGTATAATGTGATTTATATAAATTATATAAATATAAAAATTATTCTGTACATGTTGCAGTAGCTAAAAAAATATTATTTCTTTTGTTAAATGAGATAATATGATTTGAAGTTAATTGCTTTAGTATAATTAATTTAATTTTATGATAAAAAAAACATCCCGAAAAAAATAATAATCAAATCAAAATTGATGGATAATGACGTGATTAAGATTTAAATTTAGACAATACTATAAATGGTAAGCATCCTGGTCCGAATTGTTTTTTTCTTCAGCATTAACCAATTATTTATAACCTTCATGGTTTGTTACTCGTAAAAAAATTAAGTTTTTATTAAAACGGATGAGCCTTCATTACGGCTCAATCGATCAACAATAATTACTCAATATAATAATCCTTGTTCTCACAAAAGATGGAAAGGTAAAACAGTAAGAATAATAGCCAAGAGTTATTATTATTTTAGGATTATTAATACAAACATGAAAAGGATTTGTGGGAATTATCATTGATTTTGGCGACATTATACAGTGAAATCTGTATTCGTAATAATTTAAAACCCATTCAACTAGAGGTAAGTTGTTCTGAAAATTACTCCAAATACTTTGGACTCATTAAATAATTCTTAAAATAAATATTTAAAACGACCTACTGTGCCTTTCAATATTTTTTAATATTTCATTACAGTAGTATTGTATGTAAATAATAATTTTAACGTTAGACAAATCACATCCAACGATAAATTATCTAATATTGTTAAATGTTATGGTCTCACACAAGATGATGGGGATATGCTTACATAAAAGATTTCTATTATTTATGTATTATATTTAAAATCTGAACTAATACTAAAATATCTGACGCAAAATTTTATTTTTATAGTGTATACTTATATAGGACATTTCTTCTCAGTCACCATTTATCAATTATGAAAATAATTAATGACTTTGCGATGAAAGTAGTTAATAGAATATAATGTGGAGATTTAATGGAATAATATTGAAAACCGACCCTTTAAAAAGGCTTGATATTAGTACTTTAGAAAAAATTCAAGAAATGAAAATATTGCGATTTTTGAAAAATATTCAGTAACAAAAATACTGGTAGAAATATCATTAAAATATTCTTTAATTTAAATATTCGACAGAAACAATTAAAGAAATATGGAATTAAAGTTTAACTTTCTATTATTTTTAAATATCATAATAATACACATTATTTCATTTCATATGAACAGTAGATGATGATGCATTATACCATATATCCATATCTCAAATCTTCAATCAAACAAATTACACGTTCTATGTCAAATTCAAATATATGAATCGATGATCAGATGTGCGAACGATTGGATAATTTGCCGTTCATACTAAGATCAAGATGAATTAGAAATTCCCGATGATAAATATATCTACGAATTTCAATATTATTAAATAATAACTACAATAATGGTTAATTTATTCTTTCAGAAATACAGAGATAATAAAAGAATAAATACAGTATCATTAAAATTTAAGCGTTCAAACTGTATTAAACTTTTAAATTTTCTATTCATTCATTTAAAAATTATGAATATGCAATTTAAATAAAAATTGGTTTGCAATTTTTAACAAGATGGATTTATTTACGGTAAAAAAAATTTTAAGAGACTTTCTAAAATAATTTCCTTTCCACAAAAAAATCTTTTTAGACTTGTATCACCCATCGACCGTCGTTTTATACATTTAAAAAAATAACATATACATATATATATATCAAATACAATACTTAGGTTAAGAAGCGTCTTTAAAAGTGGATGTGGATGTGGATGTAGAATAGATGTAAATGAGGAAGGCAGCCTTTTCAGATCAAAAATTGCTTAAATAGCAGATTTTGAAAAAAAAAATTTGGATCCGCGTCGCTGATGGCTAATCTTACAAATTAAGACTAACCTTTTTAAGGTATCCAAAATTAATTTATTTTTTCCGTTATTCTATTTAGGTTAGATTAAAATATAACTTGAGAAACAGCGTACTGTGTAGGGATGCGAACTGGATATTGTAGAACTTGCCACCACAAGCTACAAAAATAAATTTTATTATTTTTGATAAAAATTATAACAGTTCCCAAGTTTCATAATAAAATAAGATAATTAATAAAATAAAAAAATTTAAGAAAAAAATAATTTCTAAGACTAATGATTTTCAAAATATTACGCAATATATTAAACAATTAAAAAAATTATTCCTTAATTTATAGTTCGAGAAGAAAAGAAGAAAAGAACCAATTATTCTATGAAATACTTCGATCAACTCTCCAATAAATCCCTATTAATGTCATCACATACTTTACCTAATAAAATTAATCCCTAGTTTAACGTTATCGCGGACATTAGTCCCTTATAAATCCTAGTTTAAGGTCATTCCGGAGTTCAGTTACAACTCTTGTTTCTAATTTCAAGTTATTGCCTCACATATTACAGTTAGAACGCCCTGTCAAGGGCTAAGACAACTTGTTATAATATGCTTTGTTTGGATTTCATCTGGAGTCAGATTACTTGATCTAAACATTGAGAATTATAATCATCATCATATTTTGGAAGATCTTCTGTAAAAGGATTAAGTAATCGAGATGTGTAAATAGCTTGTGGATGGGTATTTATTTGGTAATTTTCAATGGATGTAAGATTTGCTTTTCTATATTCTTCTGCTTCCTTAAATTGCATTTCAATTTCTTTATTTTCTATACTAAAAAGATTCCCTCCATATGACTTATAAAATGATGTGATTAATTCATCTACCTCAAAAATATTTGGTCTATCATTTTTGTCTAAGTCCCAACACTTTTTCATTAAACTAATATAACATCTTGGTGCTTCTGACTCATTAAATTCAGGTCTAATTCCTTTGCAAATATCTAATGCAAGACAGTGATCATGTGCACGGTCACCAAAAGGTTGTCTTCCAGTAGCTACAAAATACATTATCATACCAAAACTATAGATATCTGCTGCTTGAGTATAAGGTTTTCCTCTTAATACTTCAGGAGCCACATAAGGCATAACTCCATAAATTTTTGTTTTATCTATATTACCAACTTCTCCACATAATCCCATATCTGAAACTGATACACAATTTTAAAATTATTTAAGAACTTTAAAAATAATATATTTCCTGTATGAATATCACAATGAACTGAATTTCTCTGATGAATTTCTTTAAGACCATTAATAATACTAATCAATGCAAATAATTTTGTTTCCCAATTAAAATATTCATAGTTTTTATTTATCCAATGATTAAAATTGCCTTTTTTTGCATATTGTAAAACTATAATATATTCTTTTGTATCTGGATTTTGTGATATTCCATATATATTAAGAATATTACTTCTTTTATTTATTGAGTATTCTTTAACCTGTTTAATACATTAATATTGAAAAATAATTATTAAATTAAATTTACAGATTAAATCCATAAAAAATTATTATATTATTAATGATTCCTTTAAAGAAATTTCATACCTCATTTAAAAATTTATCAGTAATACTTTGGAAATTATGCAAACATTTCAAGGCAATTACTTTATTTGGATCCCTATTATAGATTTTTTTATCTACATCATATTCTAATGGACCATCTTTCCATATTGCTGAATATACTGTGGAAAAGCCACCCTCACCTACTGCCTCAATATCACCAAACTGATGATATGGTATCCATTCAAATACTATATCATTATAGTCATTTATTTTTAATTGCATTTCTAGAATGAAATTATCAATTTTTTTATTACCAATTGCCCATGCAAGAACTAAAATATAATTATTCGTATCTGGATTTTGAGATATTCCATATATACCACAAATTGTTCTTCCAAATATTTTTGCTGAATATTTTTTTGTCTAACATACAAATAAAGGAATTAATATATTTTACTAAAAATGGTAAAAATATTTAAGAATTATTATACCTTATTTATTAGAAAATCAATAGAATTTTCTGAGGTATGTAAATACTTTAAAGCGACTTCTTTATCAAAATCTCTTCTATATTTTTTATTTACATCATATTCTAATGGACCATCTTTCCATATTGCTGAATATACTGTGGAAAAGCCACCTTTACCTATTTTCTTAACATTACCAAACCGACGATATGGTATCCACTCAAATACTACATCATTTTCATTATTGATTTTTAATTGCATTTCTTGAATGAAATCATCAATTTTTTCATTTCCACTTGTCCATGCAAGAACTAAAATATAATTATATGTATTTGGATTTTGAGTAATTCCATAAATATCACAAATTGTTCTTCCAAATATTTTTTTTTGATATGTTTTAGCCTAATATACAAATAAAGGAATTAATATATTTTACTAAAAATGGCAAAAATATTGAAAATTATTATACCTTATTTATTAGAAAATCAATAGAATTTTTTGAGTTATATAAATACTTCAAAGCAACTTCTTTATTTTTTGAATTTCTTGTATAATTACTAAACTTAATATCATAATGCAGTGGACCATCCTTCCATATTGCTGAATAACCAACTTTACTTATTTCCCTAATTTTATTAAATTGATTATAAGGAATCCATTCAAATACTTTATCTTCATATTTATTCATTTTTAATTGCATTTCTTGAATGAATTCATCAATTTTTTCATTTTCACAAATATGTATATAATTATTTTGAACTACTAAGATATAATCTCTTGTATCTGGATTTTGAGATATTCCATACAATGCTTGAAATGCATTTTTATCTGTTGAATATCTTTTAGCCTAAATATAAATAAAAGAAATCGTAAATGAAGTATATTAATTAGGAAAAGTATTAAATATTTGAAGAAATTTCATACCTTATTTATTAAAGAATCAACGGATTCTTGTGAATTATGCAAACATTTTAAAGCAACTTCTTTATTTGATTTTCTTATATAATCATAACCATCAAAAAACTTGTATAATGGACCATCCTTCCATATTGCTGAATATACTGTTACAAAGCCATTTTTATCTGTTTCTTTAATTTTAATAAACTGGTTGTATGGTATCCATTCAAGCACTATATCATTATATTTATAAATTTTTAATTGTCTTTCCTGAATAAAGTTGTCAATTTTTTCACTTCCACTCGCCCAGGTAAGAACTAAAATATAGTTATTTGTTTTTGGATTTTGAGATATTCCACATATGTTACAAATTACTCTATTAAAGTTCTTTGTTGAATATTTTTTAGCCTACATATAAGCAAAAGAGTAAATTTATTATACTAAAAGTGTTAAGAATATTTATTAAAATATTATACCTCATTTATTAGAAAATCAACATAATTGTGTGAGTCAGGTAAATATTTTAAGGCAACTTTTTTATTTGAATCTCTCATATATTTTTTATTTTGTTTATTCCAATATATTGGGCCATTCTTCCATATTGCCGAATGTACTGTTATAGAATTATTTTGGTCTATTGCTTTGATTTTATTAAATTGATTGTATGGTATCCATTCAAATACTACATCATTTTTATTATTGATTTTTAATTGCATTTCCTGAATGAAGTTATTAATTTTTTCATATCCACTTGCCCATGCGAGAACCAAAATATAATTATTTGTTTTTGGATTTTGAGATATTCCATATATATCACAAATTACTCTATCAAAGATTTTTGTTGAATATTTTTTAGCCTAAATATAAACAAATGAGTAAATTTATTATACTTAAAGTGTTAAGAATATTTATTAAAATATTATACCTCGTTTATTAGAAAATCAACAGAATTTTGTGACCTATGTAAATATTTTAAGGCAACATTTTTATTTGAATCCCTTGTATAATACTCACTCCACATATTCTTTTTACATAATGGACCATCCTTCCATATTGATGAATACACTGTTATAGGATCATTTTTGCCTGTCTTTTTGATTTTATTAAATTGTTTATATGGTATCCATTCAAATACTATATCATTTTCATTATTGATGATTTTTAATTGCATTTCCTGAATGAAGTTATCAATTTTTTCATTTCCACTGGTCCAATTTGTAAAATTGTTTTTTAAATATTCCAGAATGTTAGGTATCATTAAAGGTTTTTTTTTGAAGACCATTTTGTAAATGCTCAAAAAATTTCTTAATAATAATACTATTCGAATGTAAGAAATTTGGGCGTTAATAAATTCCAAAAAGAAATTTTGTAATACAATTTAAATTAAGCTTAGTAATAATATTGTTGCGTAGATCACTTAGTACTTTTGAAATCAGGACCTTAGTCCCCTAGTATTATAATACCCAATCAGATAAGTGGTGTGATAGTTTAACGCCATTTCGGACCGCAGTAAATAAAAATACTTAGAATATTTTACACACTTAAATTAAATAGTATAATACTGCGCCCAAAATTAATAATTTCAGTAGGTAATTTCAGTCGTTACAATATCGTCCCGGATTGAAAACTTGTATAGAACAGAAATATTAAATTAGAGAAGAAACTTGTTTGAATAATACAGGGTTTTAGGTAAACGTTATCACGTATCATAAATTACATCACAAAACTTTACCGCCCATTTTAGTAATATATCTGATGGAATTTAACTGATATCCGTGTTGTATTACAGCTTTTTCATAAGATGCGGTTGCACTGGTCAAAAGACCATCACCAAAGAATCTTGACCCGTCACATGTATTAATCTTGGCATCCCTTTTTTGTGTGCCAGGTTCGTGGCGCAGCTAGCAGATTGTGACTTCCCTAGCGTAACCTGAAAAAAATGTCACGAAATGGCCGGCATTACGCAACTTGACTAAAATTAAGTGTGGCGCACATGTGACGAATAATGTGTGACGAATAAGTTTTTACCTACTCGAAAAAAACTGTCCCTCAGATACTTATAGAAAATGGAAGCGCAGTGGGGTGTGACGGTTGTGACAAAAAAATGTCACGTGATTTTTCGTGACATTTTTTTCAGGTTACGCTGGGAAAGTCGCAGATTGTGGCGCAACAAAAATCATAAAGAAAAAACTTTTTTTTAACATATAGCTACAAAATTACTAGATAGTTGTAATTTTAGCTGCATCTTCAAGTTTACTTAGAGCGACAAAGGCGATTTTAAATATCATTATTGACTTATTTAACAAAAATTTTTCTTTCACGAAATCCATTTTGGAAATGATCGACGAAGACGGTAGAATCAATCATTTATATGTAAAGTCAAAATCGGCATTCATAACCTTCTTCCGAATCCTAATTAAACTTGCAAAGCAGGTGAAATTACATCTACAATATAAATTCAAAAAACTTTATGTCGAAGAAAAAATCCTTAATGATGTTTTTAAATAAGTTTCTACGCCACGACCTGGCACACAAAAAAAGGGTGCTTAATGTTGACCCACTGCATGCACGCTGTTGATCTGTTGATCACATATTTTTACAATCGATTCATATATTTGCGCCACTAAATATTAAAAATCAATATAAATTATATAAATTGAATATTTTCATATAAATAAAATAAATTGACTCAGGTCAAAAAAGCTAGGAGAATACTCTGGTTAGTGTGGTTTTATTGTTGTAGTGACTTTGTTGTTCAATATTTCAATATTATTCAAGTGTGATTATTTTAAACTTGAAGAGTTTTTTAACTCACAAACACATATTAAACATGATGCAAAATGTGTATTTACTAGGTAAACGGAAACCGTTTAAGTCCTTCGCGTTGCATAACTCGCAAGCGTGTCATTTATTTATTTGGTCAAATAGGTAATGTTACATAATCGTGATACATATTCAAAAAAAGGAAATAAAATTGTCGATTGTGATAGAGAGCATAGTAAACAGATTATTACTTAATCCCTTTACAGAAGATCTTTCAAATGATGATAATTATAATTCTCAATGGTTAGATTGCACAATCTAAATCCAAGTATATAGTAAAAATATATGAAATGATTCACTCAATATATATATTTGTGTGGCTGTTATTTTATAGAAATATGCAATCAATATCATATAGTTGTCCAATACTGTATAGTTATATAAGTTTTTTTTTACATAAATAAAACCATTTTGTAAAGGCCCTTAACGTAGATCATGGCACAGTTA